GAAGGATCTCGTGATAATAAATTAGAGTCATGAATACATTCTCCTCACTCTCATACTCACTTGTTCGAGTCTTGAAACAAGTTACTAGAAGTTGTAGAAGACTCCACAAAAGGACTCAAAAGGAATTTCTTAGAATGTTCGAAAGAATTCTCAAAACTTAACTCTTAACTCTACTTTGAATGTGAATTATGAATTCAAGGTTATGATTTGTGGTAGGAAAGATATCTTCATGTTTAGGAGTGTTTTTAGATAGTTAAACATGAGAAATGATCAAGAAATCACTGTCTGGGAGCAAGTCCGCGACGCGGAGATGCATTTAAATATTTGGTCGAGAAATAAATTTTGAGGCAGAACGGTCCGTGACCTCTCCGCGCAGCGAAGAAAAATTTTGTGAAATGGGGAGGCAGGTCCACGACGCGGACTGGGTTGCCAGATTCGCTCGACTTTTTCCTTCTTCGTTTTCTAACCCTAATTCGCCTAAATTCAATTTTTTTGCTTAACTTCTATTTAGATTTAAATACTCAGCTCATGTACACTAGAATCTAACTCAAAATAACTTTATAAATCGACGCAATAATCTCAAGAATTCCTAAGTCTCAACCCAATTCAAGAACGAAAGTAAATTCAAGAACATCAAACTTTCAACTTTCTAGAACAATTTAACACTGAAATTAACATGATTGGCGTGTGGGTGAACAAACTCAACACTAAGGAAGCTTACATACCTGAAAGAACTAGGTTCTTGGCGAAATCTTGAATTTCTTGAACGAACGCTTTGATCCTCTCCTCTTTTCTCTTCTTTTCTCTTCTTGAACTCTCAACTAAAACCCTAGGCATATATTAGGATTATAAACTGAACCTAATTAGATTAGACCCTTAAAATCTTACTAAAAACAAATTAAATCTGATTGGGAAAGAAAAAGACCAAAATACCCCTTACTATTTTCGAGTAACTTTCTTAACTGGACAGTTTGACTTCAAAAGGGCATATCTCACTCATCCGACCTCAAAACTTAGCAAACTCGATGGCGTTGGAAAGATAATTCAAAGACCTTTCATTGTCTATCTTGTATCCCACCTAATTCATCATGTACTAAGAGTTATGGTCGTTTGAAGTTGATCCAAAACTCATAACTTAAGCATAACTTGCAAAATTTCAGATTTCGCTATTTCCAATTTAGTTCTTTTTGGAACTCAAGGTGCTACATCTAGTGACCTTAACACTTAAGAAATTTTAAATTCCTTGAAAAAACTTACTCACTACGAAGGATGGTTCGAGTCTTTGCTCAAAAAATTTATGGGGTGTTACAGTGATCATAATTTGGGGATACTGATCCATTTATATATATATATATACACGTGTGTGTGTGTGTTGTGAACTCCTTCAACATAAGCCACAAGCTTGGTTTAGTGATAAAAGACGTTCAAGATTTTGCAAGGTGGGCATACGTTTGCGTGTTCGAGTCTAAGTAACTTTTTCTCCATATTTTACTCTTCCCTTCATGTTTACATTTAGTTCGCTCATAGCAGTTTCTTTTAATTCTTATTTAATCCGATCCATTTATTTTTGGAATTCAGAGCCAACTCAGAACACATATACTATTGGGACATTCTTTTCTTTTGTATATTCCTCTCACAATTTAAGTTTACGCTTATGTGCATATTATGAAAAATGTGATATTATTTCTCTTTATGCAGCAAAAATACGGATAAATCCAAAAATGAGAACTTTGGCTTTGTAGAAAATTAATTATTGTCAGAATTAATTTTGAAAATAACTTTTCTAGAATTTATTTATTTTTCAAATTAAAAGTAATTATTTTCCTAGAAATCAAACCTCGCAAACAATAAACTTTTTAAGATATCTACAAAATGATAAAAAAAAATTAGATTTAAATTAAATTATGAATAGTAATATTTATTTTATATTCTTAATAAACTGAATATTTTTTGAAAATGTTGAACTTATCAACAAGAATAAATACAAGTCTCAAAAGTGGACCACAACAAGTCGTCTCAAAGGCAAAATACAAGCTAACATATGTACAAAAGAGAGACAGGCTGATCCAGAAATTCAAGTGCTCACCCTCGTCTCCGATATCCCCAAGCTGAAAAAGACGGCACGAATGATCACTGCTGGTAGCTAGACTAGGACCTGCATCATGAGAAAATGCGGAGTGTATCATAAGAACCAAAACAAGGTACTCAGTAGGCATCATAGGCCGATCAAGCAAGAAAGGTAAAGACAATCAGAAAAGATATAATCTAGACACAACCAGAGGCCAAAGCGGATATGAAAAGAAGGCACACGAGCATACAGAAAGTAAATCTAGGTACAACTAAACTAAACCTAAATGGACCCCATAAGCCCAGAAGGTACACTCGTGCACAAGTTTAAATAAAACCAAAATGGCCCCCCATAAGCCCGACAGGTACACATAATAGCTAAGTCTACGAGATAGAAGAGTAATCCACATCTGAATTCAGGACGTCAGTTGGCTCCCAGCCCAAGTAACCAAGAACCAGTCAATTCTCATCCCAACTAGCACGAGTGACAATCAACTCAATCAGTCAACTCCCAGCCCAGCTAGCAAGAGTGACTATCAACTCAATAAGTCAACTCCCATCCAAGCTAGCAAGAGTCACTATCAACTTAGGCCACCCAACCACACAATACACTTCTAGGGGCGTCAACCTCCTAACTAGCAAAAGTGCCTTGGGAGCGTGTCAACTCATAGAGGTTCTCAGATATCCATACCGCCCAACTACCCAACTCACTCCTAGGGGCGTCAGCCGCCCAGCTAGCAAGAGTGTCTGGGGATATTGACTCGAAAGAGGATCTTAAGTAGGCTCCAAGCCATCGTGGATCGACGTCCACCCTCAATGATATCATAAAAGGCTCCAAACCGAAAACACTCTTATCCCAAGAAAGCACATCACCTTCGGTAATGCATCAGAGCTGCAAAAATAGGGAGAGGAGACAGAAAGTCTAACAAGCAGCGCAAATGCCTCAGCTAAGGCTAATACTATCAGACCTGGGTCTGTTATTCCAGTCTACAAAGACCTAGTCCATCCAAATGACGTCTGATACATACCATAGTCAGAAGGTGCATGGGTCTAAGACAATACTAGTCTATCCTAGACTAATGCCAAATCATGCTCCAAAACAAGTAACCAAACAAGTAAATCACATAGCATGTTACAACACACATACAACCCCCTGCCAGCATGGTAATACCATCAAAACAGTATTAATCAACCATTATTTAGGTATACACCCTCAATTCACACTTATCATCGTGAATTTACACATTCATGCTCAATCTAATTAGAAAGGAAGTCGTAGCCTACTTGTAGGCCGATCGCGCACACTCCAAATCACAAGGATGGAGCTTTTCCCTTCCGAGCGACCTCTAAATGATGTCACACTATCAAAATAGGATCACGACGTCAATACATTTGTTTACACACCAAAATCACCCAAAATTGAGATGAATCAATTGTTTGAGTCAAACGGGAATCGTGGGATCTCTACCAGAAAATTCTGAAATTAATTCCGTCAAAAGGTTCTAATTTATGCCTTGAGCCTATGTCCCAAAATTGAACAAAATTAGAGGCTCAAAAATCATCTAACACAACAACACAACGAAAACTCAACTCCAAGAGAAGGGGAAATAGCTTACCAAAAATATTCCCCTCGAACAAAGTGTCACCGACATAATCCAACAACTCCACCACATAGAACCCGACAATTACGAGCACGAATCACTTCAAATCACCAAAAATAGAGTTAAAACAAGGAAGAAATTGCAATTCTAAAATTATAACTCAGGGTGGTTGCGACCAGCCTTAAATAGGCCTGACGGTTGACAGGTGCGAACGCGGGGAGATCGTGTGAACGCGTGTGCCAGCTGTCGTCCGCGAACACGATGCATGTACACGACTGTTTTTGATGTCCGCGAACGCGACCATGGGTGCGCGAATGCGACCATGGGTGCGCGAATGCGGCCATGCCTCAGTTGGCAGCAAAAGGTCTAAGGCCCCGAAACTTCAACGGGGTGCCCCGAATTCGTTCGGAATCCGTGCGCGCGCAAACGTAGTATGCTACCCCATCAAAATAGGTATTCCAGGCTTAACAGAATCATCAAAATTTCCATCCAAAGTCGTCGTGATGAAAAGTGGGTCCCATACCCAATTTTTGTTTAAGCCAAATACCACAAAGGGCCATCAAATTAGCTCGGAAGCTTCGTGACCTATACAAATGGTTGTACTAGACTAAACTCGACATTCTGGAGCTAACTACGCTGCCGAAATTCTCATTCGAGCTCGTTTACTCATAATGTTGACTAAAGTCAAACTTAGACTTCAACTTGAAAGTTAAAACACCTAATCACACAGACTCACACTGAAAAATTTAATCACAAAATGATAACATTATTAAATGACATTCTTACTCCTTTATTTCAGGTAAACTCTGTAATATTAGGTAACAAAGTTCAATAATGACACAATAACTTAAATTAGAAAAAATAATTGTTCCAATATAGAACTTCACATTGCAATACTATAACTTATAGTTTTTAAAAAAATCATACAAACTTAAAATGCTTAAAATGTTGAAAAATACTCCTACATATAAATTGGCTAAGATGTAAAGAATAATATCTAAATTGATACAAACTTATTGAATCATTTTCTAACTAAGCATATGAACCATGATTTGTCTCAGTAAGACAATTTAATCAAGCCTTTGTTTTGAAAAAAATGTTGAAGGACTAAACAATCTCTTTCCTTACTACTTCATTAAATCAATCTAAAATCATAAATACTTTAAATTAGAAAAGATAATTTCAGAAGCTATAAGACATTATGCGTAACAATTAAATACCAACTGGACATTCCATAAATATTTTTGTTGAAAATTTTAAAATCGATTCAAAAATTAATTAAGCAAGGTAGAGAAAAATCATGCAAACAGTTAAGTTAAATACTAATTATATCTACAGGAGATCTAAGTAATGTGGAACTGTGGAGGGAATCCATTTGTCACCGTTTATGAAATTTCTAACGGTGAAATTTGATACGATCCTGGGATCATTAGTAGTTGATGCCCACTTCACACGTCTCCTTATATCTGCACCGACTCCTTTATTCTGGTATTCCAAATAGTATGGCTGAACTCTGGGCCTTCCTTCAAATTCTATCCACCCTCTTGAATTTATCAACATATCTATGTAACTCTGCATAATTATGGTAAGTGAAAAATTTCCCCACGGTCGACCTAAGTACATAGCAACATTGTCCCCCGCATCTGGAGTTTCTAATCGCAACGTGCAATTCTGCAATACGAGTCCTGTTGGTCCATTGTCATTTCTTTGTTGTGCTGTGATGGCGATGTATTGACCTTTCATTGGCTTACGTACTTCAATTAAACAACTTTGAAACACCGCAGTTGCATCATCACAAATGAAGTCGATGGTGCCCAAAATTATACACTCTCTGTAGAACTGATTGCCAGCTTGTGTGTATACGATGTCTTGAAAACCATCAAATTGACACCTATAGAAGGTGGAGGAGTTACCGGATGCCCTTAAAGCTACTGCTTGATAGTTAGCAGGTCCAGCCGTGTTCCGAAAAGTTATGTCTTGAGCCATGAAGCCTACTCCATCCACCCCTTAAAAGGAAACAAACAAACAATAGTCAGATCAATGATATTAATATATATAATACGTAAACTTAGCAAGACTAATAACATACATTTCTATGGTTAGTTTGAGTTATATATCTCATCAACTTACCCACGGTAGCAGTATAGTATGTTCCTATTCCACCACCATAGCTCTTATTTCCCGATATTATTGTTTTGTCCATTCCTTCTCCAATGAAAACAATGTTCGTTTTCCATGAGTCGATTTGGACATATTCTTCGTAGATTCCTTGTTTGATTAGAATATAGTATTGTGCAATACTATTATTCGGACACGCGGATAGAGCAGCCATTATAGTGTTATAGTTTCCCGACGCATCCTTGGCTACTATAACATTTGGAGGATGTGAAACAGATTGACATCCTCCGCATTGTAATATAGATAGTAAAAACATAACGATAGTCAGAAATTTTACGTTACGAAAATTGAATAAACGCAAAAAGGCGAAAACTTGATTTTCTTCGAGTTGACTCATTTTTTAGGAAGAAATGCAAAAAATGATGTAAGAGTTTATGCTTAATTGTGTTGTGCATGCATTCAACCTATCAAGATTGTTATGTATTTATAGATATGAAGGAATTAGAAAAAGTGAGTTGAGATATTGTTTAGTACTACCAAATTGATCCAAATTTGATTATTTGAAACTTTTACACTCATTAGCTTTATTTAGATCAATAAATTTAAATTACTACATAAAGAAAAACAAAATCACAGCAAACTTAAGTGACTAAATGAAGAAAAATACTAACATTGCAATGCTAAGGAGTAACATAACTACCACTCAACTTATTGCATGGGGAAAAAAGGAAGATAAATATGAAAAAGTGGGACCATATGGATATTTTGTTTGTTTTTAGATTATAAAATTTGTATGCTTCTCTTTTATTTTTCACTCAGTACTCACATTAGAATCTAATTAAATTTATATTTATATATTGTAAAGCTCATTTCTAAGGACACTACTTCCAATAGAATTGTTTTCATGGCATACGTTTTCTTAAATGAACTCTTGTGTGAAACATAAGTTAACTTTAAAATAAATTAAATAATAACTAGTTATATCTATATATTTTTTAAGTTTTAAAGTTATATCTAATTAAATTTAATGTGGTAGTATAAATGTGATTGATTATGAACGATAGTAAGAAATTTTGCGTAATGAAAATTGAATAAACGCAAAAAGGCGAAAACTTGATTTTCTTCGAGTTGACTCATTTTTTTGCAAGAAATGCAAAACCGGTCTAGGAGTATATACTTAATTGTGTTGTGCATGCAATCAAGCTATCAAGATTGTTATGTATATATAGATATTTGGAGAAGGAATCAAAGAAGTGAGTTGAGATATTGTTTAGTACTACCAAATTGATCCAAATTTGATTATTTGAAACTTTTAAACTCATTAGCTTTATTTAGATCAATAAATTTAAATTACTATATAAAGAAAAACAAAATCATAGCAAACTTAAGTGACTAAATGAAGAAAATACTAACATTGCAATGTTAAGGGGGAACATAACTACCACTCAACTTATTGCATGGGGAAAAAAGGAAGATAAACATGAAAAGGTGGGATTTTATGGATATTTTGTTTGTTTTTAGATTATAAAAATGTATGCTTCTTTTTTATTTTTACTTGATACTCACATTAGAATCTGATTAAATTTATATTTATACATTGTAAAATTCATTTCTAAGGACACTACTTCCAATAGAATTGTTTTCATGGCATACGTTTTCTTAAATGAACTCTAAAACATAAGATAACTTTAAAATAAATTAAATAATAACTAGTTATATCTATATTTTTTTAAGTTTTAGTGTTATATGTAATTAAATTTAATGTGGTAGTATAAATGAGATTGATTATGATTATATTCAAGTACGGAGCCATCAAGATTTGATTGTTTGCGTTTTTAATATTCATTTTACTTTATTTAGATCAACAACAAATTTAAAATATGTGTTTAATACTCATTTTGCTTTATCTAGATCAACCAATTTAGAATACTATATAAAAGAAAGATAAAATCACAGCAAACATAAGTAACAAAATGAAGAAAAACACTAAAATTGTAATGATAACTAATTAGTGTGTAAAGGAAGATAAACATGAAATGTGGATCATACGATTTTTTTTGTAATTTTGAGATTATAAAGGTATTGGAGTTAAATCATAGTTGAATAACCACTATATATTATAATGTTGGTTCTAGGCATGCGACTCTTTATATTGGATTTCACACTATAACCAACTAATGAATTCGTTCGCGCTTCGCCCGATAATAAAAAACTCGAATAATTTATTAAATATTATTCAAATAGAAAAGGTATTATATATATATGTGTGTGTGAATTTTAGTTGAAAATTAAAAAAAAAAATTATACAGTTTTTCTTCCATAAAAATAATATAAAATAAAATTATTATATTATACATTTATATAAATGTGTAGATGTATAATTTTGTTTCATAGGGAAAAAGTATTAATTTTTTTTACATAGTTCTTAAGAACATTCTTGTAATTTATAACGATTTACAAACAAATAATATAAATATACTATTTTATAAAGTAAAAAAAAGGCAACAGAAGAAGAAGAAACAAAATAAATATACTTTTAAAGAATAGATGAAATATATTGTGTTTGTTAATTATAATTAATATACTTTTAGTGTAAATAAATAATGGTTACAATTAAATAGTGAGTAAAATTTTAATCGTGAAAACTTCTATGTACCTATTTATCCACATACTATATATATTTAACTACATATACATACATCATCTTCTTATTTTGAATTTTATTGATAAATCTAACATTAATTTGTAATTTCTTTAGTATAAAATAAATTAATATTAGTTAATACTTTCTATTATTCATTTGCATCGTTAAATTTGACTTTATTCATTTTGATAATTTATTAAATATTATTTAAATAGAAAAGGTATTATATATATGTGTGTGTGTGTGTGTGTGTGTGAGAGAGAGAGAGAGAGAGAGAATTTTAGTTGAAAATTAAAAAAAATTATACAGTTTTTCTTCCATAAAAATAATATAAAATAAAATTATTATATTATACATTTATATATATGTGTAGATGTATAGTTTTGTTTCATAGGGAAAAAGTATTAATTTTTTTTACATAGTTCTTAAGAACATTCTTGTAATTTATAACGATTTAAAAACAAATAATATAAATTTACTATTTTATAAAGTAAAAAAAAGGCAACAGAAGAAGAAGAAACAAAATAAATATACTTTTAAAGAATAGATGAAATATATTGTGTTTGTTAATTATAATTAATATACTTTTAGTATAAATAAATAATGGTTACAATTAAATAATGAGTAAAATTTTAATCGTGAAAACTTCTACGTACCTATTTATCCACATACAATATATATTTAACTACATATACATACATCATCTTCTTATTTTGAATTTTATTGATAAATTTAACATTAATTTATAATTTCTTTAGAATAAAATAAATTAATATTAGTTAATACTTTCTATTATTCATTTGCATCGTTAAATTTGACTTTATTCATTTTGATATTGTCCGTCCTCCTCTAACCAAATATGAATCGTAATTATGTTCAATGAATTGAATTTTATCGAAAAACAATAAACAATTGTTATGGAGTTATAGAAAATTGATACAACTTGACTTTATGATGATAAAGTAAGTTATACCCTTTCTTTAGAATATCTTAGTGGCAACGATTAAAGGCTGATGCAATGATTTATTTTAATAAGTGTTGTATTAGGTCAAAAGGTCTATGGGAACGATTAAAAGTGTTGCTATAGAATATTTATGGCAATAGTTATTAAACCGTCACATAATCATTTTAGTCGTAGGCCATATTTCTAGAAGTGACTATTGAAAAACTTTCTTCTTCTTTTGCAAGCCAAACAAAAACATGAATACAATACTATAGGGAAAATGAAGGTTAACTTTGGATAGATTCTCATGAAACAAAAAAATATGAATCTATATAGAAAATAATGGAAGAATACCATCAGCTATATTAACTTTCATATTTAATATTTAAAGGTTATGAATATGAAAACTTGAAAATTATGACAGTTATAAATATATGCACATTATATCTAATAAAGAAGATATATTATATAGTGAAAGGTGAAAAGTTGACTAATTGAATATAAAGGATTTATGCTATATTAAAAATAAAAATAAATAGTTAAATAAAGAAAATTGGTCAAAAAAGGAGAATAAATAAATAAATATGAATGGAGACCATAGAGAGGTCCCACATCACCTTGTTTATGTTCCTCCTCTCTCTCTCTCTCTCTCTCTCTCTCTCTCTCTCTATATATATATATATATATATATATATATATATATATTGTTTTTGATACTGTTATCATTTTCTTTTAAATTTAAAATTTCCTCATTGTTCATTATGCATTATAAGCATTGTCCATAGTGAGGTGATTATCAGGTGGAACTTCATTACAAATTTTATATATATATAATAGGCTGCATTTGTAAAAATATGTTGTAAAATTCTACTCAGTACTTCCTCTTCCTGCTCTGTTATCTTGTTTAGTAGTGATTTGTTACTAAATCTATGTAATTTCTCCCAAAATTACTTTTTTTTTTCTAATTTACTTATTCTGTCTTCTAAACTGTCAATCCTTTTTTCTAAAGATATTAATGTTTTTTCTTTTGTACTTATTATCTGGTCTATAACTTTGATGTTAAATATTTTATCGATGCACATAAGACATCCTTCTATATAGCAATTCATACATTTAACTCTTCTGTCTTTATTGGGTTATCCTGTGCAATTAAAGCATTTTTTACTATCTAAACCTTTTCCTTTGGAAAATTGGTGATCGCATTGTATATTGACAAATGTAAACTCCTTGATATTTAAGTCTAATTTTTCATATCCTATTTCGTTTATTAAAGTTTCTTCTTCTGAATCAGATGAATCTTGTTGTCTTCCTTCTAAAGCATCTATACTTATTACTTAATATATACTTTCATTATCTGACATGTATTCATCTACATTTATCAGGGTTTCTTGGAAGTCTTCTATAAGTTGGGCATTTCTTGTTCTACTATTATTTCTACCTGGGCAAGTATTGCTAGATGTTCTTCACTTCCACATGTAAAACAAGATAGTCTATTTTTGTAAATTCTATTATTATTATGTTTTCTTACATGTCTATCTTTATTTAGATAAGGCTTTCTTGCCGTAGATTTCCTTAGATAATATCTTTTCCTTGGTTTGTAGTCTTGGTTATTTTGATATGTCTTTTT